ATAATTTTTCTTGTAAATGGAGGAAAACCCAGTTCTTCGTTTGATCTCCCAAAGCTTAAATGGAATAGCTTTGAGTACTCAGTCAAATTTCAGCCATCCCTAGAGTTTATGAATGGTACTGATGTAATTTGGCAAATACCCAACTCACCAAAAGCCGTCCTTTTCATCGCCCATGGTTGTGATTGCCGAGCTGCTAACTTTTGGGATCGGTCACCCACTTGCCCTAAATGTGTTGGGTTGCCCGAAGATAGGCTCATTGTTCATCACGCACTTGATCGAAAATTTGCGGTTCTGACAATTTCGAGCATTGGTAGATGTTGGTCATTAGGAAAAGAGAAAGAAAATGTTAAACGGATTATTAAACAGTGGATCAAGAAACAGAAGCTAGATAAGCTTCCGGTTGTGGCTATGGGAGCTTCTTCTGGTGGGTATTTTGTTTCTGCGCTTGCTGCCGAGATGAGATTTAGTAGCATTGTGATTATGATCGCTGAAGGGGTTTTTGAGCAGATGGGTGTACCTGAGGGCTATCCTCCTACTCTTTTTGTTCACATGCCTAAAGACCATCGCAGAGAGAAATCAATAGAGATGAATATGAAAGTTTTTAAGCAAAAGAGTGTTGATGTGAGAGAGATAAGGTGTATGGAGTTTCCGTTAACTCCGAATTTTCTATCGGATAGGATTCCGGGGCTTGACAAGAAATTCTCAGCTCAGTTGTTTGCTTTGTTTCGGGAGAAGGGTTTTGTTGATGAGAATGGGTATATGAGGAAAGATGGTCGAAGAACTCCATGGAGAGAAGCTTTGAAGGAAAGGGGATTATTGTTGAAGAAGAATGAATGGGATAATCACATTCAAGAAGAGCTGAACCTTGCATTTGGGTACCATGAAATGACTAGCTTGCAGTCAGATGACATGCTTGGTTGGTTTGAATCTCACATGAGCTAGTTAAATCTTCTGACCTTGGATATGTTGTTGTTTAGGATGTTGTGTTTTCCTAAGAGTTTTCTTGTAAACTGAAGAAGTACTTGATATTACCCACTAAGTTACTAAAACAATATGCAAATACTTCGCTGTCTCATTTGGTTGCAAATGGTTTTCTTACTTACAGAATGATTTAAAAGAAGTTTATGAGCCAAAAATCATCCTTTGCAGCAAATGCAACTAGTAAAGGTTGGAACATACAGTTGATCTTGTGGATTAATTCTTTCATATTGGTTGAGGTTGCTGCATTCAGAAAATGCGCAGATGTTCACATGATTAGGTGAGTTTACCTGTTCTGCAGAATTTAAATTTATAATTGGTTGATATCTATTTTTACATTCACTTATATGTTCACGCAAGAAGTTTCAAAAAATATTTTTACACTTAACAATGGATTTCTTCTTAAAATTTTTGAGTTGAGATTGTTGCTCATAAACTTTGACTTCCATTTCTTTTTATCTGTGCGAAAAAGTGTTTTATAAGCCTTCTGAATGCTAGCAGAAGATTAGTGCACATTAAACTTTTAAATTTATTTTTATCTTGATCTGTAGTCTATATTAAAGTTACAATGGGATATTTGCTTACCATGTTCTTAGTTGAGTGAGTAAAGAGTATGGAAGGTTAAAGTGCGGTCATGTTGCTTCTTGTTTAAAGATAATTATTTTCCCACTTGAACACCAATCTTATATTTCAGTTATAATTGTTGCATAAATAACTTCCTTTGGACCTGACAAACTCAGTTCCATGATTAAGGAGGATGTGATTCAAAAGGAGTTGATTCTCGGATAATTGACTGTGCATCAATCTTTTATTCTGATTTGAGTCATTCAACATCTTTGGAATGCTGGGAAATATGATATTCTTATATAATAAGTTGCACTTACCAGAGCAGTTATCAAACAATTCAAGTGTTGACGTTATATTATTTCAGGAAACTAGATTAGGGAATATAAAAGCTGTTGGTAAGTAATAGTTGAAAAAAGGCTTATTTTTGAAGTGTTTGCAAGTTGTACGCTAGTTAAAAAATGAAATGGATGTTATATGTCAGGTCATTGTTGGTATATCTTTGGCCTTGATAGTTGAACCTGAAGGAAATCGTGCTATGTCTACATGCATAATACACAACGGAAGACATGTATGTACAAAAATACTAAGCATGTAGAGAGCATGAAATATTCATATGGATCGTCTAATTAAATCTAACATGATCCTTATTATAAAGTGAGCATACAAGAGTTAGAAAGTCATACTTTCGTAGCGTGATTCGATGGAAGATCGAATAACCCCTAGCTCTTGCTCCTTGTAGTAGAAAATCTCCTTGTAGTGGATCTCCAAGTCTTCAAGTGAGCTTGATAAAATGGAAGTCTTCTTAAGACACAAGGCAAGATATCCACCCCGGGGTTCTTAAAATCCTACTACTTCCTCTTACTCAAAGATTGCTAAAGTTTAGTAAGAGGAGAGCTCTCTTTTATTCTCTTATGGAAAAAACACTTAGCCAATTTTTCATTAACCTTTCCATAAGAAAAAAAGAGCTCATATTTATAGAGTAAAATGTGTTCATGATATGAATGACTCATCCTATGAGTCATGCAATGAATCATCAAAAATTAATGATTAATCAAGTGAGTCATGCAATGAATCATCTTATGAATCATTATATTTTAAAACCATGTGCTAATAAACCATGTGCTCAAACCATACCACTAAGTGACTCATCTCATGACTCATTATACATGGTATGTGTATTTCATAAATGAGAATACCAAATTATTATCACTAATACAGTATTTCATAAATACGGTATATAGTATTATTCCAATCTTTAATTAATTAGTCACTATATGACCAAATAAATCAAGAGTTGACCAAAAGTCAACTGTTGACCAAAAAGTCAACTAGTTGACTAAAAGTTAACTTTATGGGAAAAATACTGGAATTCATTTCCTAAGCACATAGCATTCCGATTTTACCGATATACATAACCGTTTATGTGTATCCGGAAGAAATCATATATGCGTATCAATCATACGCATCACTCCATAAATTGTGTTTCATAGGATTCAAGTACGCGCTTGGTGTGACTCTAGGGCCCAACTTAAAAAACTCGGTAGTGGATCATATCCATAAGTACAACAGAGGTGCTAGCTACACATGAAGACCACCCGGGTATAAGTTGTGATAAAGGTCTGCAAGATGCTTATCCAATTTTATCAGGACCACTCAATGATAATACCGTACAGTCCGGTCTCTTCGTCAAACCATGTCAAACTATTGAGCCTAGGGTATGGCAAACTGTCAAACCCTAATAGCTTGATTAGTGTTTATTGATATTAAACTCATAACCTATAAGATCAAACTGACACTCAGTTTATCTTATTCACCTTGGCCAAGGATTTCCAGGCTATAGTTATATCAAACAATCTTATGACATCGGCTGCTCACATGGGTTCTCAGGTATAACGCGTTCGTTTGTCGGACGCGTCTTCTTCTGAGTAATCATTGCCTTGTTGGCCTCTGCAAGAGTCGCACGTTTGGAATCACTCCTTTGTGAGGGTGAAACCTTAACGGGCTCTTGGTCCTTTGCACGCACCGCCGAGCTGGTTGTTGCAGAGATCGATTTGTTAGGAGATCGTGTACGACCCCCAGTCTGGATGTTGGCTCGAAGCTCCTTCAACGATCCCCAGCTTTCCTTGACAAGCGCTTTTCCTCGATTCTCGGGTAGAGCATCGATACGGTTGTTCAGAGGATTCCTAGACTTGGGGAAATCCACACCGTGGTGGGGCTTTACCGAAGGTTCGGGACCTGAAATGGACGAAGGTTGGAGAGCAATATTACCTGCTTTTACCTTGGGCGTTGATTTGGCCTTCGGCATCCAAACTCGTTCGGATCTCGGCGATCTCTTAACGGCCTCTCCCTTTAGCATTTCTCGTGCTTTTTGGACCAGGGCTCGGGCATGCGCACGCAAGGCGCGGCGCTTCTGGATTCGCTCCTCGAGAGTAGAACGGGTTCTTTTGACATGAACCCATTTGTTTGTTTCTGCTTCGGAGGAGGGGCTGGTTGTTTGCCGTGGTTGCTCCTGGCGTTGCCTGGATTTTAGATCCATGTTATAGCGGATCCCATCCATTGGCTCCAAAGCCTCGGCCAGCTGTCGAGCAAGACGTTGACGCCGTCTTTGTCATGCTCTCTTTGATAATGCCTGAGCGTCTTCAGAAGTCATCTCCTCGGCGGAAGAGGAGTCCGGATCTGCGATCTCGACCAGGTTGGACGACGTGGGGACGTCGCGTGGTGCAAGTGCAGAGGCGGCAACGGGGTCTTGGATTTTTGAACCGAAGGACCTGCAATCATTTATGAAAGAGGTTACCTTTCTGTACCCGTTTGGAGAGGCGGATCTGGAGGAGGAGGAAGAGAGGCCTTCTTTGAACCGTTGTTGATCGAGCTCGTGTTCTTCATTCACCCCGATCTTGAGTGCTGGTTGCGTCACGACGGCGTCGGTTGCGATGCCGTTGGCTCCCACTGTGGTCGCCAGTCTGTTTGCGGAGAAAGTTGCTGTATTCATTGCTGCATTCATTACAACTTCAATCGTTACAATGAAACAAAAAGATAGCCTTTTTATAAGACCGGTACACAATGAAAACAAAAGAAATACAACTCTTTTCAAACAAACGCAAGATCTGTTTGTCATCTCTTGCTTGCGTGGGTCTTTTGCCTGTGACGGGGATGTTGATATCCGTGGACCACCGGGGCACTCAGATCTGGTCCGGATAAATCGGACAGAGTTTCGTTGATCCGCGTGAGATCTAGAAACTTTCTGATCCGGATAAATCGGACAGAGCTTCGTTTATCCGCGGAGGGATATAGAAGCAGAGCTTCGTCGATCCGCGTGAGATCTAGAAGCTATAAGCGTATACCTCGGCTAAAGCGAGGTAATAGCTCTTCTTAGTATCAAAACAGTTTATACTCTTGTACTCTTTGGAGTATTGAGGAACAGTTTATACTCTTGTACTCTTTGGAGTATTGAGGAACAGTTTATACTCTTGTACTCTTTGGAGTATTGAGGAACAGTTTATACTCTTGTACTCTTTGGAGTATTGAGGAACAGTTTATACTCTTGTACTCTTTGGAGTATTGAGGAACAGTTTATACTCTTGTACTCTTTGGAGTATTGAGGAACAGTTTATACTCTTGTACTCTTTGGAGTATTGAGGAACAGTTTATACTCTTGTACTCTTTGGAGTATTGAGGAACAGTTTATACTCTTGTACTCTTTGGAGTATTGAGGAACAGTTTATACTCTTGTACTCTTTGGAGTATTGAGGAACAGTTTATACTCTTGTACTCTTTGGAGTATTGAGGAACAGTTTATACTCTTGTACTCTTTGGAGTATTGAGGAACAGTTTATACTCTTGTACTCTTTGGAGTATTGAGGAACAGTTTATACTCTTGTACTCTTTGGAGTATTGAGGAACAGTTTATACTCTTGTACTCTTTGGAGTATTGAGGAACAGTTTATACTCTTGTACTCTTTGGAGTATTGAGGAACAGTTTATACTCTTGTACTCTTTGGAGTATTGAGGAACAGTTTATACTCTTGTACTCTTTGGAGTATTGAGGAACAGTTTATACTCTTGTACTCTTTGGAGTATTGAGGAACAGTTTATACTCTTGTACTCTTTGGAGTATTGAGGAACAGTTTATACTCTTGTACTCTTTGGAGTATTGAGGAACAGTTTATACTCTTGTACTCTTTGGAGTATTGAGGAACAGTTTATACTCTTGTACTCTTTGGAGTATTGAGGAACAGTTTATACTCTTGTACTCTTTGGAGTATTGAGGAACAGTTTATACTCTTGTACTCTTTGGAGTATTGAGGAACAGTTTATACTCTTGTACTCTTTGGAGTATTGAGGAACAGTTTATACTCTTGTACTCTTTGGAGTATTGAGGAACAGTTTATACTCTTGTACTCTTTGGAGTATTGAGGAACAGTTTATACTCTTGTACTCTTTGGAGTATTGAGGAACAGTTTATACTCTTGTACTCTTTGGAGTATTGAGGAACAGTTTATACTCTTGTACTCTTTGGAGTATTGAGGAACAGTTTATAC